TTACATATATTATATGTAATATTCTTTTAATATGCAGCCAAAATAATATATGAAGTTGAATAGAAGCTTCCAAATCATTCAAAGAAGAACCGTTATAACCTTATTAGTATCTAAGTAAAAGCTGTTCATTTGCTGGAGCAACACCTACTCTTAAAATATTGGACAGAACAATTTAATGCCTCCACCAAAAGCATACATTTATTGATAGTATTCAAGGCTTCTTAATGACAACATGAATATTTTCCATATGTCGTACGGGACAATCTCTAAATCAAGAACTCGTAAATATTTTTATATCAGGTGACGTTATTTATCTATAACTCGCAATGTATAAGTCTGTTCGGGTCCCACTAGATCAGTTTAGTGATTGGTTGATTCAGTTACCTTTGAGCAAAGTATGTTTCTGACACTGTTACAGTCAATCATGCAAAATTTCGTTTTCATTCCGGTAAATTTAATGCTTCACGGAATGGAAGGCCAAATGTCTAAAATGTCGATAAAATAATGGAAATCGCCGAATCTATTTTTCATGCTAGCACTGTTTTGATTGCCCCGAAGCTAAATATTGCACACAAAACAGGTTTGAACCACTTTAAAGACTGGATACGAAAAGTAAAAATTTAAGCCTTCAACATCATATAAAAATAATGGATTTCTTTTTACTACACCTAATATTGTAACAATGTTTGAATCTTAATTGGTGCTTGGATTAATTTTTACAATTGTTCAAAAAACTCATAACTCACTTTTTACATAACTCAATACAGTATATTTATTAACATATCATATTTCATGTCATTTAAAATTAGTTTTAATTTTCATTTCCATTATTTTATTAAAGGGTATCAAATTACTTGGGAAATTACACGTATCACAAAAATAGTTTTCTTATATGTATATAAAATATTATTGAAATATCTCACTTTTCACTTTGACATTCCCAATTTAAAAAAGTTTTTTTCTTAATTATATTACACTTCATATTTGTTTAGGACTAATTCAAAATTACCATCTTGTGTTCTCCGATTATTTTGAAATTTTGTTATATTATTTTCATGCTACTTACAATAGAAGGTTTATATGGGAGTGGACCAGGAATTGACCTATTCGAGAAAATGTTATTTATCATTCGATTTATTTGAAATTCCGTGGATAAGGGGCCTTTACTTAAATTTAGACTATTCTTCTCTCCACGAAGTAAACCTGGTACTGACCTACACTTTAAAATAGTAAGCATGATGGGATTTCCTTGAAATTACGTACCCAAGTGGCTTTTTTCTTAAATTAACAGGAGGCTTTTCTTAACTGCGGTAGTAGAACAGGGTCCAAACTTTGCATTCAAATTACTTTAAATTCGGTAAATGGGTGACTTTTCGCTTAAATTAATTGGAAGACTACTTTCCTCGCAAATAAGAGCACCATAAACTGGTCTATTCAGAAATATCGTTATAATGGTTATTTTTGCTTGAATTTTTTTACGGGAAGTGAATCGATTTGTTGGAAAAAAAAGAATGTATTTACTCATGATATGGATTATATGTCTAAATAAAATACTTTTATTTCATGCAAGTGAACCAGAGGCTTAGAAACAAGGTCAATAAAAAATGCTTTTCTTTCGAGAAATGGTTCAGCGACAGATTGACTTAAATTAATATGTTGATATGTTCGCTTGGCATTTTTATTCTTATACTGCGAGTTAAACTTCGGTGTGAATAAGCATACACTTGAATTTTGCTTACTTCGAGGCATTTATATTGAAATTTTGGTGAAAAAATTTGAGCATCGAAGAAGTGAGCCACCCACCGCTAGTGATATGTTCCACTTATAGCAATCCACACATATTCGTGAACGATATGATCCGCAACGGTTTGCGACTTGCAGTCAAAAACTAACAGAAAAACGTAATAGAAGTAAGAATTCTGACCGGAGCTTTAAAAGGTGAAGTCATCCTCATTCCTCAAATCCGTATCATTCTATGGGACAATCCATTTCAATTCAAACGACTTGCGACAAGCGTCCTTATTCGACTAGTGTTTGCAATAACTATCAACAAAGCTCAGGGTCAATGTACAGAATTGTATGGTACACACTTTGATATGGATTGCTGCCCATATGGTGAATTATATGTTGCATTTTCTGGGGTTTGGCAGGCCAGATAAAATTTTTACTTGCGTGGCCGATTTTAAAGCCAGAAATGTATACCCATTGAAATTGGTGAGTACAATTTATCACACATTCGAAAGGAAAAAATCAACCGATAATTAGTTTTAACTGAACTTAAGTTTATTAAAGGTACAATACTGATCATACTGATTCGTTCAGTAAAGTTTACTCATGTATATATTTAGAATATATAATTTCTATAGTTATAACAAATTCATGCGAAAATTCCATACCCCAAATAAAAGGAAAAATGAAAACGCATTTAAAAACTTAGAGAATACTGAAATCATAAAGCAAATTTAATGTATTTTTAAGAGCACATACTTGTAAATATATTATATATGCTTAGTGCTTCATATATGTATGTATGTATGAGCGAAAATAAATTCAATGACAACAGAAAATTAGTGCCGGAACTATGGAAATACTGAGTCAACTGTCGCCAGATGACCACAACTGACTAGAGAATATTCCTTTTATAATAAAATAAATATAAAAAATTTAAAAAAATGTGCATAAACCTTAATGCATATACATATGTATGCATTTGCATTTATGTACACGTATGTATGTGTCTGTGAAGAAATTTTTGTAGCTCCGAGTCGAATCAAATGGCATCATATGAAATGATGCAGTATGCGTTCTTTTATTCACATACATACATTCGCATACAATTTGTGGCGTCACCATGGCGTATGATGAACACACTTGTCAAAGCATTTGTACAAGTAAAAAATATATACATACATATGGATACTACAAAAAATTGGTTTCCTACTGGCTATGCTAATTGCATAGTTGGGAGAACAGTTGCTAGGTTGGTTTGTTTGTAGGGCCTTCCATTGCATGGCAAGGTTTAACACTGGATAATTGTGATTGAAGGATTTTATTTTATGAGCAAATCACTTTCACATACTTTTACTAATAATAAAAAATATACAACTACGCTGGCCACAGTGATACATATAAGATATAGTATATATTTTTATATATATTTATAAGTTTAAAGGTGGATTTTAATATATTGATTCATAAACCTGGGAGTTATAAAATTGCGTGAAATTTTTCACATTTTTTTATTAATTAATATTTTGTTTCTTGAATTTTTTTATTTATTTATTTAATCCTATTCATGTCATTACATTATATTTTTAATTATATTAAATTTTTCATTTTGTTATTAACTTTAGCACTAAGTATGTAAGTAAATACCAGAAGGTGAAATTCCTTTATAATTTATATTGATTAGATTAGAATACTGACTTGAGTTTATATAGTCGTGTTGATCTATTTTTCTCTTAATAATCTCTCGGAATATGCGGGTGTATTTCTATAATGTGTTGATCATTTGCCGTAACCGTAGTAGGTCGGCTATATCATATACATAGCTCCCATATATCTGATCTGTTAAGCTATGAGATTTTGGAACGTAAGTTTTTTCAATAAAGTTTACCGATTATGAAGTTTGGTATCCTACACCCATTTAAATTCCACATTCGTACTGGAAATGATCGAAATCCGACTATAGTCCGCTTACAACCGATTTAATCATACTATACTTCTATATGAGGTATTGTTAAAAAAATCCAAACAAAATCTATCTAAGGGATTGAAATTTGGCATTATACATTTGTGTCTACAAATAAATATTGTCTTCGAAAATCATCAACATAGGACGACTAATCACGTAGTCCCTATACACCCAAATTGTTCGGACTTAAGGTTTTGGGTAAAAATCTGCCAAAATAGGATCTACCAGGTGATTTTTGTACAGAAAAACTCGTTTATTGTAATGATATGATACAAAGTAACTTATTCAACGTATTGTCCGTTGTTGTATTTGTGGATTTCGCGCCAAAAAGAACTTTTGAGGCAAACCCTTCATCGAGCCATTTTCGTACATCTTCGTAAGAAGTAAAGCTCTCCTCAGCAAGTGAGTGTTCCATCCATGCAAACAAGTGGTAATGGGCTGAGACAAGATCCTGTGAGTAAGCCACGTGCTGAAGAATCTGCTAACAGAACGACTGCATCGTTTCCTAGACCTATTTTGCTTTGTGTGCTGGTGCATTGTCATACAGAAAAATCTTCTTATATTGTCTTTGTTGGTATTCTGGTCGTTTTTCTCTCGAGACTCGATCCAAATCGGTCATTTGTTTTCGGCAGCGTGGAGTATTGACAGTTTCCCCAGGTATAAGCAGCTCGTAGTAGATTACGCGATTTGAACCACCCAAAACACTGTCTTTTACCGAGAGCGTGTCACCAAATTCGATGCGATGCAGCTGCTTTCCTTCAGATGAAAACAGAAAAGTAATGCTATCTGCGAATCGTAATTTATTGGCACAAAACTCGCAGTTCTCTATTAAGGCAATGCTACTGAATGACACTCGTTCTATTGTGAGTTGGAAATCTTTGTCGGATGTCACTACAATAACAAGACACCGCTGATGTGATGTGTCGGTAACTGCGCATCTAGCGCAACTTATTTGCAAATTCCGATTTCATACTTACCACCTCATAAGGGCGTTAAATTTGGTTTCTTCCATACATAAATTCATAAATTGAATTTTGCATTTTGCAATAAATTTAGTAAATTCATGAAAGGTTGAAAGATTTCTGCATTGTCGAAGACAGTTTTTTCCTTGTTTCGATTTTATCTCATTTTATTTTTTTTTTTGATTTTTTTAATCAATACGATATATTTTTAATTTATTATTGTATTTTGTTTAAATTTTTTTGACACTATAATTATTAGCAGGCGCAATAGCGTAATATTTAGTACTAAATGAATCAATTAAAGTAATTAATACTAAGTAACGTCAGAATATAAAGCCAACTTGTTTCTAAAGATTTAATTTTATTACAAACTTTCGTTACATAGAAACATTTTCGAAATTAATTGAGTTTACCATTTTTAAGCTGCTTTTAAAAATCCGCACTATACCCTTATGATTCATTTGACCGTCCACAAGTGGTGCCACTGCATAACTAAGCGCTACAGGTCATTGCTCGAAGAGTATGCGATTGATGGTTTGTAATAGAGGATATTTCCCACCAGAGCAAAGGTTACGGAAGTCATCAGTCTCCAATGACCACACCATCACGCCGCCCAAATTGTTATCTTTAGCATATTGCGCTTTCAGACCAATACTGCGTGGGTTATCAAAGCTCACCCACTGCTGTCCTAAATAAGCATATGGTACCAATTGCGCTTCATCCCATTCGACTTGCCACTGTTCGGTGAGCATACGCTCACACAATTCCATATAGCCAATAGAGCCGGCCTCTCCAGAATATTGGCCCGCTATACCTGCTCCTGAACTTGGCGATCCCACGGAGTGTTGCGCGGCATCGGCGAGAGTAAAGGTGCGTCCATAGAATGGTACGCCGACTACTAGTTTCTCACGAGGTGCACCTACGAATAAATTTGATTTTAGAAAATTTATATGGACATTTGTTGAATGAAGTGGAGGTCTTAGTATAAGTATAAGCTAACCTTGTGCCAACCAATATTTAATTATAGCATCTAAATTGAGTTGCCTACTCGCCTCGGTGGTGTCGTTTGGACCAGCATATAATGGCGCATTATAGCCAGTCACTGATTCCCACGTGCCGTGAATATCATAAGCCATTACATTTATGATATCCAAGTACTTGGAAATCTCTGTTATATTATATGATATCGAAGCAGTCGCTGCGGATGCGCCAACTGCGGCGGTGAGTATGTACTGGAAAGGCTTAAAACTATAAAAAAACAAGAATTCAAATTAAAAATTCTTCTTCTTTGTATCTCCCTCTCTCTCGCTCTCTCTCTCTCTTTCTCTCACTCTTTCTCTCACTCTTTCTCCCTCTCTCTCTATATATATATATATATCCTTCTCTGTCTCTGTCTCTGAACTCACCCCTCCTTCAATTCACGCAACAGCGTTACAAAATTATTCTTGTCATCAAAAGTCAAATTATGTCGCTGGTTGGGATATTCCCAATCCATGTCCAAACCATCGAAACCATGGCGCTGTATAAATTGCACCGCCGATCGTACAAATCTCTGGCGACGTTCCGGATCATTGGCTACAATTGAAAAATTTCTCGAACCCTCACTCCAACCGCCAACTGCTGCAATCGTTTTCAAACTCGGATTTTGTAGCTTGAGTGCGTTGAATTTGCTAATATATCCATCTTCACCATTTTCCCCCAAATCCAAAGCGGGATCAGTAATGCGAAGCTCACCGCTCTCCTCAATGCCAAAGAAAGCATACATTAAATGTGTGCACAGGAAGGGGTCAATATTGTTCACGTCGTATTTGCCATTAGATTGGCGATAGGTAGCCCAGGTGCCTTGATAACAGACGACATATTCTGAAAAAGAAGACGAGGGTGGGGGCTTAGGTCCAAATGAAAGAAAAGTGACTAAAACTATGCTGTCCTATTTTTCCGCTCATACTTAGCTTTAACTTCATATAAATAAATTATTAATGAGCTCATTAATAATTTCATTCTTTTGATCTTTAAATACAAAAATTATATTTAATAAATAATAATATATATTGAAATTTGTTTGTTTTTTTTTTTAAATTGCTTTTCATGTCGTTGTTTGGAAACTTACTGCCATTGTCTGCATCTGCAGTTTCACCCTTTGGGCACAGTACACCAAGTACAATGAGCACATAGATTTTTAAAATCATTTTTTTTTTTGCTTCTTTAAAAAATTTTCTTCAACGGATTACTCTTCCGCACAATTTTTCAATTATAACTAAATTAAAAGTCACACATTTCTTGTTATTTATAGTCGATTGAGAATGAGAACATATTTTTTTATAAAAACCCACTTTAATTCTATCTCTATTTAGTTGCCTGCTTATTAAGAGTAAATATCAATGGCGACGAAATGCGGAAGAGGTAAGATAAATACTGGCAACAATAGAATAAAAGGTTACGACAATAGCAAAATCATAAATTTAATGACGAAATCGGTTCAATTTTGTGGGTTGCCGAAGATTTCAAAATGAATTGCCATAATTTTATTTATAAAACAATGCAAAATTTTCACTATAAAATTATAAGGTCTAGTATTAAATTTTTTTAACACTAATATATATATATATATAATTGGCGCTTTGTAACCGCTCAAGCGATTTTCCGCCGAACTCCTCCTCCAATTTATGGTTTTACGTCTTTATGTTTTCTCCGATATGGAGGGACCTACAGTTTATACCAAGCCGCCTCTGAACGGCTGATGGTTTCTTTATGAAGAGCTTTTTATTTTCATGTCAGAAATACACTCGGAGGGGTTGACATTTCCTGCCGAGGGGTTGACATTCCCTGCCCAGGGGCGACCGCAGTTAAATAATTTAACTTAATATTCTATTTAAATTAATTTTCTATAACTTCTGGATTTGAACCAGACCCTTTCGAATAGCAATACACTATGCTGACCACTTGGTCACCGCGGCCGCCACTTTAACACTATTCACAATTAAAACGTCTTGAATACTTTTATGTCGAAGAAATGTATTTTAACTCCCAAAAATTTAAGTTTTTGAAATTAATATTATTTTTTAAAACAAATTTTTGTAGCTAACAACTCCAACCTTTGCCTCATGTAATACAAATGGCATGAGAAAACAATGTTGAAATCGTTAAGTATTTTTAAATTTCGAAGAGCATGCATTATTTATACAAATTTTATGTAGAACACGATTTTCACATATTTTTTTTATCTGTTTAAAAACGCTTAAGGGAAAACGATGATTCGTATCTTGTGTAAAAATCGTGTTTCAAAATGGGATGTGGTAAAAGAGATAAATATTTCAAAAAAAAAAAAAATTGCTTGAGTGCTTCGTATTATGTCAAGTAATAAGTTCGTTCGGTTTTTATCTAAGAGATGGCGTTATTGTCCATAGTACTAGTGCTAAGTGTAGCATCACGTCATAATATTGTATATATAGCGCTGAAAACGTGTTTATTTGCGCTAAAAGTTTGTTTTTGACAATTTTCGATTGCTTGACTCAGTACGTTGTGAGCGCTCGTTAAAGATGGACACCAGCAAAGAGAAAATTCGCTAAATTTTACAATTTTTACCGATCAAGGCGAAAAAGCATCCAAATCGGCCGAAAAAAAATAATTTAGTTTATGGGCAAAAAAGTGGTTTGCTAAGTTCCGTTCCGGTAATTTCGATGTCAAAGATACACCAGGTTTTACTGTGTACCACGACCTGCTCCCCTATCGCCAAACGCTTAAACTGGACCGCCTAAAGGCAGCACTCATCCAGAAGTGGCCATCTCTAAACAACAGAGGTCGAATTGGAATACAATCAGGACTACGCCAGGCCGCACAGGTCTTTGGTGACGCGCCAGAAGCTTCATGAGCTCGAACGGGAGGTCCTAATACACCCACCTTATAGTCCGTGCTTGGCACCATGCGATCAACGTCTTTCCCTGTCCATGGCGTTTAATGGTGAGATGTTGTTCTCAAGAGAGGCCTGTGAAAATTTTCTCTCCGGGTTTTTAGCCAATAGGGACGCAGCTTTCTACGAGAGAAGTATAATGAAGTAATGGCATCTTGTTGGGAACAAGTTTACGAACAAAACGGCGCATATTTGACTTATATCGAACAAATGTACACAAAGTTGTCATATTATGGAAAATCAATAAAAAACCGAACTTATTACTTCCCCAATATTAACATTTTCTGAAAAATTAAAACAAAAATGCGATATTGCAGCATAGACGCAATTTTAAGTTTTGGTATTAAGACAACGTAAATTCATCAGATAGTTAAATTTACAATATATGTTTACATATGTATTAGGAATTCACGCCACCACAGCAGTACCTTTGTGCAAAACATTTTATTCACAAATAGTGACCGTCAACCACAAGGACCTATGATTGCCAATACAAGCTTGCACAGTTCCTGGTTAGGGTGGAGGTAAAACGTCAATACTAAAAAAGGTGTTTTTTCCTTCTGTATAAGGAAAATTTTCCCATATATACTGTATTTGGTTCACTTACATATATAATATAAAACTTTTTTTTTCATAATATAAATATTAAGTTTTGCCCACTGTACATGTGGCGGAGTTGGTTCGTTGAAGTCAATATATCTATATTTATATATATCTATATTTATATATATACATATATGAACCAAAAGAGTTTCGCTAAAAGCAAACACTTGTTTAACTATTGTATTAGATAACTGTAAATAATTTGTATTCTTTATCATATTTACACAATTGTCTTACCGAAAAAAAAGCATTTTTTTTATGTTAGTTACCTTTGGAGATAACTTTATTTATATGTTTAATAAATTTTAGAAAATTAACACACTTTTAACCACTTTAAATAAATAAATTAAAAAATTAAAATAAAACAACCGTCGATACATTAACATAAAATTAAATGAAGGAAAAAAAATTTAATTTAAAAGAAGTTAGAGAAAAAAAGATCATAAGAAATAAAAGAAAAAAAATAAGATAAATAAAAGCAAATTGATGAAAATTACATTTACTTCAATAGATTAAACTAACACAACATTAAATTAAAAAAAAAAACATAATAAAATAAAATAAAGCAAATTAAAATATATATATATGTAATTGGCGCTTTGTAACCGCTAATTCTAAACCGCCTTCGAACGACTACCGTTTTTTTTATGCGGTGCCTTTATTTTATGTGAGAAATACACTCGGAGGGGTTGACATTCCCTCTCGAGGGTCGACCGCAAATAGAGAACTTAGCTTTTTTTATTTAAATTAATTTACAATAACTTTTAGATATTAGTACGACACCGGAATTCGAAACCGAGTCTTCTGAATGGCACTTAGCAATGCTTACCACTAAGCTACCGCCGGTAAAGTAAAACATGCAAGAGTAATGCGCGAAACTTCTCCAAAAGAATATAGCAACTTACAGAACGTTTCAGGACCAGAGCAGACTCTTGTAGGATACAGAGAGGTGATCTAGTAACGGATGCGGAGAAGGAAAACTTCTCCAGTCTGCTGGACGGTAGTGGAAGTGAAACCCCCGGAGATGGTTAACCCGAAATCCCAATCTATGGCGACGATCCACTACCTGAATATGTCAATGTTCGAATAGCGATTGCCCGCTTAAAAAACAACAAAGCAGCTGGAGCTGACGGTCTACTGGCACAGCTGTTCAAACATGATGGTGAAGTGCTGACAAGGACCATGCACGACGATTGGAAATTAAGTGTGCTCTGTCCAATACGTAAAAAATAAAACCCTACAGTCTGCCCCAATTACCGTTGGATTAGCCTCCTTAATATCGCATATAAGGTCTCGTCAAACTTATTTATAGCGTAAAGAGTTGCCTCTTATACGGCTGTGTAAGCTGACGTTGGACAACAACAGAAGCGCAGGCAGAAGACGGCTACGCTGGCCTGGTCATGTCGTTCGAATGGAGGAGAGCAGTCCAGCTTTGAAAGAATTCGACGCAGTACCCGCTGGTGAAAGCGGAAAAGGGGGAAGACGTTTTCTCCGTTGGAAGGAACATTAATTGAATTAAATTAAATTAAAATAAATAAAAACGTATGTAAGCCTTAATTAAGTTAAACCAATTTAAATAAAAAAAATAAAACCAAAATTTCTTAGACAATGAGAACTTAAATATTTTCAAAAAAAAATAAATAGCAAAATATAAAATAAATTAATGAAATCAAATAAAATATAGTAAAATAATCGAAGCAGAAAGATAAGTGAATATTTTGAAATAAAGTTTATTCAAAACTTAGTAAATTAGTGAAGTAATTAGTGTAAGATTAATAAAAAGTGCAATAAAAACCAACACAAGTGTACACGTCACAACGGTTTTTGTCAGGTTTGTCACCGCAGCACAATTTCAAACCTCTTCTATTACTGAATTAGTACTCAACAAACACTTGCACACTTCTTACTTTCACCATTACCGCATTTTCGCTGTCCGCCGCTGACATAAGTGTGTACGAATGAACACGGAAGTGGCGTGAAGCGGAAATTTGCAATCGTCTGGTGTTTGTAATGCAATTCTAAAAATACCAGAGTTTGTTGGTATGCTTAACCGCCATAATACATACATATGTGGTTTGGTGTGGTGTGTTTAAAAATAGAATGACGATTTTTCATGCACCTAAAAGGATACTATTTTGACGTATGCAATTTGTTGTGGGAAAGCCCTGCATTCTCGTCCAGTATGTAGTTGTAATGAACTACGTGTGTAGATATATGCGCTTTTGATTAAGTTATTTGGTTTGTCGTCGATTGGCTGTTTGAATTGTATCAATTTTGTGGTAGGCGACGAACGGAAATTAAGTTTTTGACACAAATTAGCCAAATGGTAATTGTAAGAAATAAAATTAAAATAAAGATAAAAGTAAAACTGGTATTAAAATTAGAAAGAGGCACTCTCTCTCTTACTCTCTCTGTCTCTGTCTCCAAACTCATCCCGCTTCAGCTCACGCAACAGTATTAAAAATTTTTTCTTCTAATCAAAATCGCCTACCGCTGCAATCGTTTTCAAAGTCGGGTTTTGTAGACAGAGTGCGTTGAACTTGCTAATATATCCATCTTCATCATTTTCGCCCAAATCGAGAGCGGGATCAGTAACGCGTAGCTCACCACTCTCCTCAATGCCAAAGAAAGCATACACTAAATGTGTACACAGGAAGGGGTCAATATTGTTCACGTCGTATTTGCCATTAGACTGGCGATAGGTAGCCCAGGTGCCTTGATAACAGACGACATATTCTGGAAAAGAAGACGAGGGTGAAGGGCTTAGGTGAAAATGAAAGAAAAGTGACTAAAAATATGCTGTCCTATTTTTCTGCTCATACTTAGCTTAAACTTCATATAAATAAATTAAAAATGAGCTCATTAAAAATTTCATTCTTTTAATATTTAAATACAAAAATTATATTTAATAAATTTCGACATTGTTTTTTGTTTTTTTTTTTTTTAGACATTACTCCGTTTGTGTACCACCCACTCAGTCCCACCCTTTGGCAACAGTACACCAAGTGCAATGAGCACATAGATTTTTAAAATCATTTTTTTTTTCACGGCTTAATTTATCTCACAATTCTTCAATTATAACTAAATTGAATTATTATTATAAAAATTTAATGTAGAACACGATTTTCGTATATTTCCATTATCTCTTTAACCCTTAATCTGTACTCATGTAAAGAAACGAATTTCAAGTGAATGTGAAAGGGGTAATATTAACCAATATCTGAAAAAATATATTTTCACTGTGATTGGAGGTTTAAATCATCTTTTCTTATAATATATAGTATTTGTATTCGAGAATACGAGCGTCCACATTTATTTGTCGGTCGCTGAAGTTTTTTCAACAGTTTCTGTAAACTGTCGATAGTTCTTTAATACGTTTTTGGCTGGACTACTAAGAGGGAGCGTAGCTCTGTGTGATACTTCTTCAGAAACAAGTAAATTTCCAAGCTCTTCTAGGAATATACGACATTTAAACTTTTTTATTTTTATTTCATTCAGAGTTTATTTCCCTAAAAATTAAACGCGCTTATATCCAACATTTTGTAAAACAAAGATTGTGGCCACGGATTCGTTATCCGCTTGCGGATATATCTCCTTATTACTTGATCTAGTGTATCAAACCCTGAATTCGTTTTGTTGTAAAAGTTAATGATTTACAGGTGTTTGACATTCCATGCCGAGGGGCGACCGCAAATAGAAAATTTATTTTATTTTTTTATTTTTTTATTTAAGGCACCAGGATTTGAGCACGGGCCTTTCGAAAAGGCAGTATGCAATGCTAACGACTCGGCAACCCTGGTCGCCATTAAATTAATTAATTAAAGTAACTAAAACTAAATAACGTCAGAATATAATGCCATGTCATTTTTAAAGATTTAAATTAATTTTATTTCTTTTCACAACCTGAAAACTCCCGCTACATACATACATATAATTAAGTATGTTTAATTTTTTTTTTCTGATTATAATAATTTTATTCGAAAATATTTCAATATGGTTAAACTACCGTTTCCAGAAATCCCCAAAATGTGTCGCTCTAACAATCCACCGATTGAGGATAATTGCAAGTAGTTGACTCTAAGTCAAATTTCAAATTGTGTGGGCAATTGAATGAATGTGCCATACCCTGATTACAGTAATAGAACTTTCCGCAATCGTGCTTGTCACGCACATAACCGTTATCTTGGCTCGTGCATACTCCACCGTCGCGTGGGTCGAGCACTATACCCTGCTGAGGCGTATGGCTGCCCACTACTGGTGCCACTGCATAACCAGGCGCTACAGGTCGCTGTATGGACTCCGCAGCCATATTTAAAACTGACTGTGTTAAGCCCGTTGCTGTACGGCCATCAAAGAGTATGCGATTAATAGTTTGTAGCAGGGGATATTTCTCACCACCACAAATGCCTCGGAAGTCATCAGACTCCAATGACCACACCATCACGCCGCCCAAATTGTTATCTTTTGCGTATTGCGCTTTCAGACCAATACTGCGTGGGTTATCAAAGCTCACCCACTGCTGTCCCATATAAGCATATGGTGCCAATTGCACTTCATCCCATTCGACTTGCCACTGTTCGGTGCGCATACGCTCACACAATTCGTTATAGCCAATAGAGCCGGGCTCTAGAGAATATTGGCCTGCAGTACCTGGTCCTAAACTCGACGATCCCACGGAGTGTTGCGCGGCATCGGCGAGAGTAAAGGTGCGTCCATAGAATGGTACGCCGACTACTAGTTTCTCACGAGGTGCACCTACGAATAAATTTGATTTTAGAAAATTTATATGGGCATTTGCTGTACGAAGTGGAAGTCTTAGTATAAGTATAAGCTAACCTTGTGCCAACCAATATTTAATTATAGCATCTAAATTGAGTTGCCTGCCTCGGTGATATCGTTTTTACTAGCATAGAATGGCGCATTAATGCCAGTCGCTGGATCCCACGCGCCGTGAATATCATAAGCCATTACATTTATGATATCCAAGTACTTGGAAATCTCTGTTATATTATATGATATCGAAGCAGTCGCTGGGGATGCGCCAACTGCGGCGGTGAGTAGATACTGAAAGGGTTTAAAACTAAAAAAAAACCGGAAGTCAAATTAAAGATTATTTTTCTTTGCCTCTCTCTCTATCTCTGTCTGTGAACTCACCCCTCCTTCAACTCACGCAACAGCGTTACAAAATTATTTTTATCATCAAAAGTCAAATCATGCCGCTGATTGGGATATTCCCAATCCAAGTCTAAGCCATTGAAACCATGGCGCTGTATAAATTGCACCGCCGAACGTACAAATCTTTGGCGACGTTCCGGATCATTGGCTACAATTGAAAAATTTCTCGAACCCTCATTCCAACCGCCAACTGCTGCAATCGTTTTCAAGGTCGGATTTTGTAGCTTGAGTGCGTTAAACTTGCGGATATTGCCATGTCCACCATTTTCTTCCAAATCTAAAGTCGGATCAATAACGCGTAACTCACCACTCTCCTCAATACCAAAGAAAGTATACACTAAATGTGTACACAGGAAGGGGTCAATATAGTTCACGTCATATTTGCCATTAGATTGGCGATAGGTAGCCCAGGTGCCTTGATAACAGACGACATATTCTGGAAAAGAAGACGAGGGTGGGGGCTTAGGTCAAAATGAAAGAAAAGTGACTAAAAATATGCTGCTTTATTTTAATGCTCATACTTAGCTTTAGCTACTTATAAATAAATTAATAATGAGCTCTAATATATAAAATATATATCATCATATTTGTCATCCTTTATAAACTTACTCCGATTGTGTGCATCTGCAGTTCCACCCTTTGGCAACAGTACACCAAGTGCAATGAGCACATAAATGTTTAAAATCATTTTTTTTTCACACCTCACTCTCCCTCACGATTCTTCAATTATAACTAAATTGAAAGTCACACATTTCTCATAATTTATAGTCGATTGAGAATGAAAATATATATTTTCTTTTTTTACAAGAAACCCCACTCGAGTTCTATCTCTCCTTAGTTATCTGTTTATTTACAAGAAATATCAAGTTCGACGATATGCGGCAGAGGTAAGATAAATATTGGCAAACTTTTCACTTTTTAATTTTTTCGAATTGATAAGGAGTGATGAACAGATGATTTATGGTAAAAGAATGACGAAGCGTAAGATATTGTTAAAAATAAAATAAAAACCAAGATGAATACATATATGAATGCATGAATAGCTAAACAAATACATATATATATAAATATTCAAGGCAATGGAATGACGTTGGAAAATTCTAAAAGTTTTCAAGGGTAATTGGAAAAGTTTATAGAATGGAATCATATGTTTAATTACGGTATCGGTTTAAGTTTGTGGGTTACCGAAGGTTTTAAAATAAATTTCCATATTTTTATATTTATAAAACAACGCAACATTTTGAATATAAAATTCAAAAGCTTTGAAAGCCTGAATATATTTATGTCGAACAAATGTGTTTTAAATTTTAAAAATATTTAAAAAATTTATTTTTTTTTCTTGACTAAAATTTCTGCGAAAATAATGCAAATTCTTGAAATATTTTAAAAATTCCAAGCAAACATGCATTATTTATAAAAATTTGATGTAGAAACCGATTTTTGTATATTTTATTTACCTGTTTAGAAACGTTTAAGGGAAAGTGATGATCCCTATCTTGTGTAAGAATCGTGTTTCAAAATTGGAAGCGGTGAAAAAGTGTACAGTGGGTACAAATATAAAAAAATATATATTTTGAGTACTTCATATTAATATTTTTTTTGCAATTTTTTTTTTGCAATTTTACATGTTAACTACTCCTCCCTCAAGTCTTTGACCGTCCTCGGTTGTTTTATAGTTGTTGATGATCTTCCGTAATTCCCGCGAAACTTGTCTTCTCTTTGAAATCAGTCATGTGATGATAAAGCCGCTTAAAATGACGCTGAGAGCAAGACTGCCGATAAACCATGTATTGAATGAATCGGCGGACGCAAGCTCGTCTCTGACGTCTTACATGAAACAAAGGTTTTCATCGTTCATGCTATGGAGTTGCCGCATACTCAAGCAGCAGTGACCCCGCTATGCCTGGCTTCCTATTTAGTATTTTACGCTGGCTCACATATTTGGTGCCATTGATGATTGCAGAGAAACTGAAGGTGATGAGCTGTGTCCCTTCGTACTGATCTCTGGGCCATCTAGGCTTCATATGGCTTGACTGAGTGCGGCAGCAGGCCGCGCCGCTAGCGTACAGCGCTCGTGCACAGGTGTCTTATATCGTTTACTCGCAAACGTATGTAAATATTATTGTTACGCACTCGTTAACTGCTAGCACGTCGTCGTTGCATTCGACTACGGTGTCATCTTGTAGCTGTGGTATTACATGTTAATGTGATACCGGGAAGAAGGTGACTCTGGTACAGTTGAATTTAATTCATGGGTAGGCTATGAGTAAAACAAATAATCGGACTACAGTACTTTAATCTTCGATGCTTCAGATGGGCTAACTAAGTGGATCTCTACGGGGTGTTCCTTTAAAATTTTCTTCAAATTTCCATTATCAAAAATAATGGGATTTATTTTGTCAGCCTTAGCTAATGTAATTGTGAAAATCAAGTTTGAAATCTTGTTTATTCAAATTTATATTTCTCGTTAATAATGTTTCTGATAACCGCAGTGTGTCAACTAACTCATTCTTTCTTGCTTTAATTATTTCATCTATCGTATCTGTAATATTATTAACTTTTTCAAAATCGCTTGCATTTGGCGTTCCGGTTATTACCTTGAGTGCTGAGCCTAGGAAATTCATTCTTCTTGCCATTGGAGTTCGAATTTGCGATTGAGGAAGTTACTCAACGGTCTAATTTAACATTCTAGCAATTTCTGTCAGGTTACTCGCATGCCTTAAATAGTCCCTTTGTTGCCATACCAACAATTTCCCGTCTATCACGGGAATATAATTGGAATGAGAGTAGTCGATAATCCGAAAATATGACACCCCTAACAATAAAAGGGCTGCAAATTTAATCATGCAAAGATAGAAGAAGAGGGAATAAAGGTCGTTGTGTACATGTAAGTAAGTGCTATTTAAGGTTGCCCTTGTGGACCACCCGCTTCTTGAATCGTTTTCGCTGTGCAAAGCGGTGTTAACTTATTTCATAATCTTTTATTTGTTTTTTTTTCTGAACTCTTTTTCGCCTACTTCAAAAACTCTATTTTGCCTGCTCGGATTAGTTCTATCATGTGCCCATTGGAACACCTGTGAAGAGGTGGTGCATTCACAATGCATATTTCATACCCGTTTTTTAACAATCCGGCTACATTAGAATCAGATCCTCGAATGCCAAGATATTTCTTAAACTCTCAAAGGCTTTTTTATTTAGTTTAATTGAACTCAATTTTTACCTTTTTAGACATATGTTAATGAGTCCTTAATGAATCCTTTGTATTAACTAGCCAGGCTAAGAATTAATCGTAAAATTAATAAGTTTTTGGGCTCAACGGAGTCTCTAACCTTTCCGGGGTCCGTTTTTGGCCATTTTTGGTTACTAAGAAGCCCAAGAACTTTAAAGAACTTCGTTTTCTCTTGTGGCAATCGGCATCGCATAATCAATTTAAAATTGTTTCGATATGCTTCGCTTGCCTTTCCGAGACTCGCAAGAATTTTTGGAATACTAGGTATTGGGTATCGATCGGCTAAAGTTCGCTCATTTATCTTCCTAAAGTCGATTACCAACCATTTACTTTAATTGTCATTGTGATCAGGATTCTTTTTTGTCAATAACCCAACCCAATCCCAACAGGGCTATTATATGGGAATTTGAATATCTTTGAGCAGCTGCTTGGTTTCGTTATTTACGAAATCAGAGACCCTATTTGGGTACGGATATAGTGTGGCATAGATTGGTTTTGTTATTTATAGGGCGAATCGTGGCAATGACCGAAGTGTTAAAGGATAATGCCTCGTTCTAGGTCGAGAACGCCTTTGACCTTCTCAATATCATGCCTTTTAATTCCTTTTTGACGGGCATGGATAATACTATATCATTGACAACTGTGAAGTTTACACTGTCACAATATTAATAGAGCAAATACAAAATGTAAGTCCAATGCCGCTCCAGCTTGTGTTAACAAGTCCGATGAATTTATCGTGTCAAGCACAAAAAATGGTGAAATTTGGCGAAAAACTTTCATAAAGCATTCGTTTGTTATTCTGCTCGAACTATGTACCGAGCTCACAGTGAATCAATATTTTAGCTCCTTTATGGGCTTAACGTGATTCCTTGTCGCCCCTGTATCGTTTGATGTGCGGCAGTCGGGATTGTTCCCTAAAAAATGCAGTGAGTCATTATCACACAGTGACTCAGTGTCCTCTTCAATATCAATTTCAGCAGCCTCTGCTAAGTTTTCGTATCTTGGTTTGTCAGCATTAAAATCCCTGAAAACTAGATATACACTGCAACGCTTCGCTGTCGCCAGTCCAGTTCAATAATGGGATACCCTTTTATAATGACTTTATTTACTCAATACTTGGGGAATACAAAATTTTCCAATTTCCGGAGAGAAGAATAGCCCGACTTTTTGAATAGGCAAGTCTCATCGATGAGAAGAGCCACCTATGTACAGAGTTCCAAGTAAATCTAAGTCCCAGGTCCTCTTCTGTTTTTTTCAGTCCTAGTGAATACGCACCTAAAATTTCAGTAACGGGCATATTATATATTATATATATTAGATATATATAAACTAAAAAAGTTTCGCTAATAGCAAACACTTGCTTAACTATTGTATTAGATAGCTGCATATATTTTTTATTCTTTAAAATATTTACACAATTGTCTCACCAAAATAAATATATATATATATATTTTTTATGTTAGTTTTAAAACTATATAAACATAAACAATACCTTTGGAGACAATTTTATTTAGATATTTAACTAACTTTAGAAAATTAGCAAACTTTTAACCAATATTAAACAAATAAATTAAAGTGAGACAAAAAAATCTAAGTAAATAAATTAAATTATTTAAAAAATTAAACTAACACAACCTTCGATGCAATAATATAAAGTTAAATGAAGGAAAATAAATATAATTAAAAAAATAGGCGAAATAAAATTAAATCAAATAAATGAACAATGAAATAAAATAAATAAATTAATATCTATTTCAATAAATTAAACTAACACAACATTAAATGAAAAAAATATATATAATGAAATAATAGTAAAATGAGCAAGAGTAATGCTCGAAATTTCTTCGATAGGCAACTTACAAAAGGTTTCAGGACCGGAGCAGACTCTTGTAGGATACAGAGGGGTGATCTAGTAACGGATGCCCAGAGTATATTAAATTTATAGAAGGAAGTCTGCTGAATGGCAGTGAAAGTGAAACAATCGAAATCCCATTCGATGACGATGGAAAAGACGTTCCACTACCTGACTCTGTCAGTTTCGAATAGCGAATGCCCACTTCAAGAACAACTATGTAAACAGCTGGAACTGACGGTCTATCGCCAGATCTATTCAAACATGCCGGTGAAGTGCTGACAAGAAGTATGCACGATGATTGGAAATTAAGTGGGCTCTGCCTAATTCATAAAAAGGGGACTCTACAGTCTGCCCCAACTACCTTTGGATTAGCCTCGTTAATATCACATATAAGCTCTTCTCGATCGTATTATGTGAAAGACTAAAACCCACCGTCAACAAACTTATTGGCTTTAGACCAGGTAAATCCACCAAATGGTCAGATATTCTAAATGCGTCAGATCTTGAAAAAAAACCCAGGATACACATTAACTCTTCGTCGATTTCAAAGCAGCCTACAGCAGAACGAAAAGAGTTACTTCAACGGCCCTTTGGATATCTATATTTGGTGTCCACGCAAAATTTATACGGCTATGTAAACTGACGCTGGTCAACACCAGAAGCGTAGTCAGAAGAACCTCTCTGAGTTGTTCGGTACCAAACGAGGCATCAAAGACAGTCTTTCGACAAATAAAGACCAAACTCTACAAGTCCCACATCATTCCCATCCTACTTATGACGCAGAAGCTTT